GCTTGGCTTCTCTAAGGCATTATTTCCTTCTATGGCAGGCAAGATGACAGCCAGCTGTTCCAGATTGCAGTCTTCCAAATATAACAATCTGAGCAGAAAGAAATGGAGTTTTTGCAGAGCTCCTGCTTTTGGTGGCATGCTTATCCCTAAACCAATCAGTGTAGACAAAAGAATCAGGTCTCTGTATTGGCCAGAACTGAGAACTTGCTGATCTTTATGGCTATTAGTGATAGTGTATGATAAAGCTTTCTCATTGGATAAAGCAATGCCCATTCTACTATGCACTGTAGGAACATGTGCATTGTGCTATACGGCATATTGAAATTATTTCTAGCTATGTAATCATTTAAGGTTTTGATTTATTATGAGCTTCTTAAAAATAAAAACCTTAATCTTCACATTAATATTTGCTGTCCAAGGCCTAATTGATAGGGAGCATTTGGTAAATATCCATGAATGATTGATTCCACTATTTCACTCCCTTTTATGATCACTCTGGCTGGGCTCCTTGTCATCCAAGGAGCCTTAACAGAATCCTTCATGGATGCTTGGAGCAATGGGTCCAGGGGAGTGCGGGGTTCTACTAAAGCACATTTGGCTGGTGCCCTTAGGTGGTATAAGTTCTGTTCCAGGTATTGTTTTAAATACTGTTCAATTTAAAAGCTAGCTTACCATATACAGTTATTTTTATAATTTCAGTTTATCAAAAAGGGAAGAGGATGTAAACAGAATTAATATGTATTATTTGAAGGTATCAACTTCCCCATGATGAATGTAATCATTTTGAACTACAAGCATATACTAATAAAAATTAAAAATAAAGACATATATATAGGGATACAGTCACATATCAAAAATAACATGTCACATAAATAGCATGATTGGAGCTTTAGACATAAAACAAAGCTTTAGATTTAAGTTTAGTTTAGTTTTGAAGTTTATGTTCCTAGCCACTAAACAATATTGCTTAGATAAGGAAGTAGCTGAGTTTCACTAAAGCACAGTTTGTAGAATATCACATTGCCCCTTCTGGTGGATTATACCTAGGAATAATCAGCAAGCATAGCAGTATCATGTGATTCGATGAGTTACCCCTTCTACAAATGATCTCCCTCACTGACCTTCTCTTGTCTACATTCTAACATTTTAAATCTTACCTTTTTGTGAATAAAGAAGGAAGATTATAGCATAATGTTAAGCGTTGAAATTCTGAAAGTGAATAGAAGAGTTTGTAAAACTACTTTATCATTTCATAAGGCCCATATAAAATTGGGTATGGAAATATTGAGGCAAAGAGTGCCTGATGCTTAGATGTGATGAGCTAGCAGGCTGTCACAGCTGGAGTAGCAGCAGGATGTCAGGTACCTCCAGGACAGTGGAAATATCTAAAGCGGCAATGAAATGATAGTGGGGGGAAAATATTTGTAGAACACTTTTCAGTTACCAGAATTTCATGTATCTTAGATCAGTATAGACCATATTCATCATAATATCCTATGAGATTAAAATATGAAAAACAAAATGTAGACTAGTAATGTGGCTTACTTTTTTACCTCGCCCAGGGGGTGCTTGACAATATCTGAAGATACTTTTGACAGTTACAACCTAGTAAGGGAAGCTGAGCAGCTGTGGTCTAGTGGATAGAGAACTGGGAGGCTGCTTCATATCCTTCACAAGACAGAGAATTGTCTACTTCAAATATCAGTACTTCCAAGGTTGAACAACCAGTTCTTACATAATATACAATTTGACCAGGTGATACACTTGACAAGTATCAGAGTTAAAGCTAAGACCAAAGTCATCTGATAAAATATGTTTCACTTGTCTCTTTATTAAGATCCTTTGGCATTTTACAGTTTCATACATGAAATATATTTAGATTTTTGGAACTATCATTTTCACCAAAATAAATTTTTAATTGCTCTTTGTGTTTTGAAATAGTCAGCTTACCCCTCAGGAGCATTTTATATCCCCAGACCCATGTTCATCATAGGAGATGTATGCATATCTAAAACACAAACATCACCTCAGTTGTTGAAATCTCATATGCTAACATTTTGCAATTTACAGAAAATTATTTTATAAATAGGAATGTGGCTAGTTCCTTGAATTATTGAGGCAATTAAGATATGATCACCACTCTATTTTTGTCAGTGCATCTGTTCTTTGGCAAATGAGGTATCAGATGGTCTTTACTGAGCAATTGTTATGTGTATCTGTGATGTGAATGAACAAAGTCCTCATCTTGTTTTTGCAACCAAAAGTTTGATTTAATTTATGCAAAAGAATTATTTAAAATTATAATTTTGAGATGTTTTATTATGAAAAGTCAGTAAACCTGGACAAACACTAATATGAGCTTAAAATTCATACATTTACTTGAAGGCTTTTTTGGTTTTGGTTTTGTTTTTTTTTAGCTTGATTATCTGTTGAAACTTGAGTTTTGTTGATTTTGGCTCCCATGTGAGGACAGGCTCCTTTTTGCTGGGTGATTTAGTAGCAGAATTCTTCCATGACATTCTCTTATCTTTTTTGCTTTATTGGCAGTAGAATTATATGTAGTATTAATTGTGTTCATTTCTTTGTCATTTTGTGTTCAAACCACTCTTTAATAACCATCAGTGAAGGCAGATTCCAGTGGATTCTCTAAACACTTTTTACTTGAGATTGCATAGATTTTATGGTTTGTAAAACAGAAAGACCCCTGACCTCTGCAGCATCAGTATCGGTCTAGCTGCCACCGTAGCAGCCCTGGCACCAGGTGGGCTCTCTGGTCTCCACGGGTTGTGTGCATCATCCATGGCAACCCAGAGGTCACTGCCTGCAGCCTTAGGCCTCTCTCAGAAAGCAAAATGCTACTCCCAGCAGGTGGAGACTTCCCAACCACAATCACGCTTGCTCCTCCTGTGCGTCTTCAACAATGATTTGGGATGTCTATGTTAATTCATATATTGATCTCAGAACACCAGACATTATAGTCAACATGCAAAATGAAGATTGATTTAATTAGCCTATTAAAGTATGTTAAAATGTCTAGTTTTCCTAATATATACAAATGACTACATAAGAGGACACAGTTTTAAGAAGAAAAAGAACAGCTACCAAATAAATACTAGGTAACGTGCTAGGCATCCCATGAACACAACTACTTTTAACTTAATCATGTTGAAGTTGTTAGTCCCATTTTATAGATGAGAAAGCTACAAGTGAGAAACGTAAGTAGATAGAGATGACAGAGCTCAGATAAGACCATTCATCCTTGTGACTTCTTAATCCTGCAGAATTCTTTCACATTCATAACTTGTGGCCAACTGAATCACAAGAACATAGAAATGGTCCTCAGAAAGGCTACGTACCTTTTCCACCCACAAAAGGCTTCACAAATTCACCCACAGCATGTTACCTGGTGAACCTAAATCTTCACCCGTGCTTTTAAAATGCTGTGTGAAAAGTTCTATTAAGTGATGCTCTGCTCGGCCTATGCACCTTTGTAGAAGTATTTAAAAAGGACTGTATTTAGACTAGCATCAGGGCCCTGTAACTCAGCCACTCTGAATTTCCTCAATACATTTGTCAGTTTGTCTCTTAGAATGTTTATTTCTTTAATCGTTTATTCAGCCAGTTAAGAAATGCTTACAGGGTGTCTCCTACATGGCTCCTGTGTGTCCTAGATCCAGAAAGTTCAGACATGACTACAAACACTGCCCTTAACCTCAGGAAAGTTCCTATTTCATATGATAAAACAATTCACAAGTAATTGAAACCAGTTCTAGATTTGGTTTGGTGGGAAGAAATAAAGTGGCTGCAGGAAAATAGACCACCAGGGAGATCCACTTTAGAAGGTAAGAGGACGCTATCTCACTGTTGAAGTGTTGAGATGAAGAAGGTGCCAGCTACTTCCAGATGAGGGACAGCAGTGTTCAGAGTACATAAGTGCAAAAGCCCTGATGTAGGAAGGAGTTTCAGATATTCAGGAACTTGGTGAAAAGCAATGTGACTAGGTAGCATTTAAGGCAAGAAATAAAGTAAGCAACATACAGGTTTATTATTTCCTTTTAAAAAAAAAAAAAAAAAAAAAACCTACATTCAGTATGCCTGTAGGCTCCAGTCAGGAATGTACTCAGAGTTCCATAGAGCCAACAATGGATCTTTCAGCCCTGGGAGTGAGAAAATCTAGTTTATGTTTTAAGAAAGCATTGGGCCATTGACTCAAGAATGGATTTGAGGGGCACGAGTAGCAGGAGGCAGACCAAGTAAAGGAATTTTCTGATAGACTTGGTGAGAACGGGGATGGAAAGAAATGGTAATTTGTAATATGGAGTAAAAATTTAACTGAAGTTTGCTTGGAGTGAGCTATCTGTGTACTTAAGATCAAGCCTGCTTGTCTCATGCATCTTTGTATTTTATTCTTCATGTAGTCATGCTATAAAAAGGATTCTCTAAAATCTTTCCTTTTTCAATTCTTGTATTTATTAGAAAAAGCGTGTCCTTAATTACAGGGCCTGTGATGCACCATCGACATTTGCTACCCTGCCAACATAACATAAGTTGTAGAATATTTTCAGTCTTTTAAGTCCAGCTGAAATGTATCAGCTAACAAATTTCAGAAATAATCATACCTCATTTAGTTTAAGCTTCTCATCTAGAAAAAACACTTTCCTGGATAAAGGATTTTTTGATTCTTCATTAGCAGTTTTAACACTAATGGTAAACTATACTGTGGTTAATGCTACAAAAGTGAGAGAAAATTTATGACCTACTTAACTTTTATAGTGGTTATTCAAACTGACTGTTGAAACCATTTTTAACAACTGTATAAAAAGCATAAAGCCACACATTTCACTAGTGTTTATGCATGTGTACCAAAATATCCTAAAAATGAAGCTGTCAAGTGATATAGGCATAATTTATCGTTTGGAAAATGACAGAAAGACTAATAATTTCTGAAGAATCATTTGTGATAAACTTCACCACTTTTGGCTTATTTGCTTTCATTTTAGAATTACCATTTCAGAAGATGGAAACCTCAGAATCATCAACGTGACTAAATCAGATGCTGGAAGCTATACCTGTATAGCCACTAACCATTTTGGAACTGCTAGCAGTACTGGGAACTTAGTAGTGAAAGGTAATGGCTGCCCCAAAGAACTCATGGATTAACATATCTCCCCACCTCTAATAATGTAATCTATAGATGCAGTATTCATATTAATGAGTACAGATATCACCGTGTTACTAAATTAATTCATCACACCAAACATAATATGATTAATAATCCTTTGAGCACTGTTGGTAATGAATATGATTGAAAGGCTATCTTATTTCAGGATCATCCAATACAATTCTGAGAATTACAGCCATTGTATCTATTATAGTATTGTGACTAATGCTATCTTCAGTCCTTTAATTAAATTTCTTTCAAGTCTCTATAGATTTGAAACTCATGTCTAGAACACTCTGCTAATAAATTAAAAACCCCTGACTTGAGAACTATTTTTAGAAAACATTGTTTAAACAATGACGGTGATTTTTAAAATATCTGCCCCCACTATTCAGGGGTGGGGATAAAGCTTCTTATATTAATAAAGGGTTTGGTCTCCTCTGTGCTTTGCGTAACTCACCCAGTCAAATCTATCAGTTTTAAGGAAATGAAGCTTTCCACATACCTCAGTTTGGGTAGTTTATATTTTGTGACAGAAAGTCCTTTTTGCCCTTAGCATAGTTCATGACATGCAGCAGTCCCAACACCAGGCTGATGGCATAGACTGAAAGTGCTAAGTGAAAAGTGAGAAGGATGAGATTTTAATTTACATTTCATTTGCATTTCTATCACTTTGTATCTTGCCAAGTCATAGGATTTTTAAACTGAAGGTGTCTTGGAGCTGCTTTGAAGAAGCAGAAAATGACACTCAGGTTGGTGGCTTTTTCAAGGTCACCACTGATAAAGAAGGAATTTTGATTGTCCTTTTTCCTTAGCTCTCATATTGCATCTGGATTTTTCTTTTGTACTTTTCTCTCTGTGTAATAGATCTAGATAAGTAGTATCATATTATTTCTTGCTTCCCCATTTATAGCTCCCCCTGTGAAGTAAGATAACCCAAGGCAAGTAAAAATATTGAAAAAAGAATGTTTTAACTCAATTATAACTCAAGCAAAGAAGCTAAAAATCACTTAGTTGTACTTTTTATGACCCTTGTAACCTAGATATTTCCTACCATTTTAAAGTTTTTGTTTAAACTTTGAAATACTTGTCTGTGCAGATAGAAAGTTAGAAGTCCAAGAATTAGAAATAAATCTGTATTTAAATGGACATCAGCTATTTCAGTTTATTAATTATTCCCTCAGAGCAATATCATCAGTGTATTACTGTCTATTCACTCTGTTTCACAGAGCCAAGGAAAAAGAGACCAGATCATATTTACAAAACAAAATTTCATCTGGAAATCTTCAGTAATGTATGGTTATTTCAGCTGCCAAAAAAAATAGTGATAGACTAGGACCAAGAGAGATCCCAAGATTTCACAGGGTTAGCGGCAGAGCGTGGACGTTTTATAGATGACTTGACAGTTACGAAGATAAAATACTAGACAACTATTTTAAATTGTAATGAAAGGTCAGAGATTTGCATCAGAGAGATCTTATTTGAACCTCATTTTTCCCATTTGCTATCTCTGTAACACTGAATAAGATTTTAGCCTACATGGGGATAATAGTTGCACCAATCTATAGTGTGGTTTTGGTGACTATGGTATTGCATGTTAAATGATAAGCACGTTGCTTCTTATGGCTTGTGTTTAGATGTCCCCCAAAGCCTCAGGTAGTCATAGATGGGGCTTTTTCAGCCAATGTCTGGATTTAGAGTATGTGACTGATTCAGAGTATAATACTGGATCAAGGACCCTAGGATTAAAGGTGTGAGTGCTACCTACCCTAAGTAGCCTGGATAAGATAGAAGGGGTAGAAAGAGCTGTGTTCACCCCTTTACTAGCTTTGCAACTTTCTGCCCACCATGAACCCTTTCTCTTCTGCAATGCTTGTCTGTCATGTTACCACGCCTTGGAGTTAGCCAACTGTGAACTGAAACCTCTGTGAACTGTGAGCTTCCTTGTCTCAGCCAAGGAAAAGTATCTGAGACTGTATCTGACACCTAAAATAGATTAATAGTGGTTATTATGTACATTAAAATAATTATGCATACATTCTAAATCATACTGAAGTGCACATTTATGAAGTTTCTACTTTAAAAGAATAACTACGAAAGACAAGTGAGGCTGCCACCCAGAAAGGACTAGGAGTGTTAAAATTATAAACACCTACACAGAAATTATATATGTGGCCTTCTGATTGTTGAAAACAGAGTGTTTCACATGTAGGAACAAGATATAGCAGGTATTTGATTATCGTGCTTCTTATATGCATTGATTTCCTTTCCCTTCAATAGAGTTGGAAAAAATGAAAGACCTCTGTTTCCCTTCAGAGTTCATATCCCAGTGATGCCAGCAACTTCAGGACAAATCCTTCCCAACCAACTGTGCAGTACTTGCTGCTAGTCCTGTACTAAATAACTCAACAGGGCTTAAAAATATATCAGCGATAAAGTATGTCATAGTCACCTTATTTTTTTTTTGTGGCTACAAATACTGCTGAGATAATAACTTTTACCTTTTTTAGCAAAGTAAATAATTTATTTCTTATCTTTTAGTAAAATGTGAACAGCAGATTCCCAAATATAACACAGGAATAGTTTCAGGCACTCTACAGTTAAACTTTTTTTATTTTAATAATTATTTATTTCTTTCAATGTTTATTCAGAAAACACTAGTTTCCCATCAATGGAAATAATAAACAATATTTTAAAATAGATTTAAAGAAAAAAAGTGAGTCAGTATACAGGAAGGTAGTATCTGAATAAGAAGGTAAACTTGAGTGTATTTATAGAAAGGACCAAGTGGCAGAATTAAAGTATCTTGCCTGTGACGGACACAAGTTTGTATACAAGACACTTTGGAAACTGAAATCTTCTAGAAGATGAGCAGAAGAAGGAGGCCTGGGGCAGGCAGAGCCTGTAAAAAAATGGCAGAGGGGTGGAGGCCGTGGCATGATTACCCTGTGTTGGGGGAGGAGTCCCATGGCCACACAGAAGTCATCAGCTTCAAAAGAGAGGTCTTCTGGGTCTACCTGCTGATATTCAGCTGCTGTCAGTTTTTCCACAGACTTCTCTAGTTCTCATGTTATTCTTCTGGGTGAGAGGGAGGAGGGAGAGATATGAGCTTGCTCTGGTTCATGTGTTCACAGAAGTTAATAATTCTATAACTCTGAGTAAGTTTAGAAGGGGTTTGGGAGACATTTTTCTCCTAGTGGTTGGTTCTGACTCCAGTTAGCATTAATGAGAAGCACAGGTGTGTGTAGAGGGGCCGGTCATACCACTAGATCTCTGAGAAGGATATTAACATAAACTGAGAAATGCAATTGAGAAATTGCTCCATAAAGCGCAGTAAAGGCAGAGAAACCCATTCTGATTCTGCAGGAACTGTGCCAAGTACTGTCTTGCACATCACAATGCTTGAGCCCTGCACTTCACGCAAATGTAACAGTTTAGCTCGAAATATGGCTGAGTGCTGTATTTTAACTCAGTTTTAAGACCTACAAAGAGACCAATTTATTATATAAGTTTTTCTCGAAACTTAAAATATGCTGTTTCTTGTTTTGATCCTCATCTATCTTAGTTTAGCACACCAGGAAGGTCAGACATCAGAATACATCTTCTCTAACCTTTTAAAAATAATTCTATCATTAACCACATTTTTAAAACCCAGTTCTCTTCCTTACTACCTCTGCTGTCATGTTGTGGAGAGAAGTTGAAGACAGTGTCAAATGTGAAGTCAGAAAATAGAGGAGAAAGAGAAAGGGACAAATCCACTATTCCAGAAACAGGAGGATTAAAATAAATCTGTACTGATAAATATTCAGATGATGCACAAGCAGGGTTCCAAACAGCAGAATTCTGACAGGTGCTCAAAAAGCATTTGATTGACCTCCCATCATCTGAATTTCTAAATTTCAGTGATTTTATTATTCAGTATATTTGGAATTTGATTTGCCGTTTAATTAAGACCCCTGAATTCTAACAGTAAGTTAGTATTTCACCATTAAACAAAAAATGCGCTTTAGTGCATCATTAAATATCATTAAAAACTATAAAGAGAGCCAGGTGTGGTGGTACAGCCCTGTAATCCCAGCACTCTGGGAAACTAAGGTGGGAAGATCACAAATTCAAGCCCAGTCTGGCCAACCTATTGTGCAAAGGTCTTGAGTTCATTCCCCAGTCAAAAAAAAAAAAAGAAGAAGGATAGGCTACTTTTACATGAAATACTAGCCTTACTAGTTTCTTGTTATCTCTGTTACAGAGATAAAGCATGTTGTGTCACATGTCACTGTGTCTTGGCTATGTAGGTTTAATATGACAGATACTTTCAAATAGCAGGCGGAGAGAGGAGCAATTTAAGACTGTTTGTTTTGGCTGTAGATCCTCCAGATATGGTAATAACAACCCTGGCTTCTATTGATCACCTCCAGGGCTCTAAATGAAACCCAGGCCTTTAAACTGTGAATGAGATTATCAAGAGTATCTTGCTGAACTACCTCCAAAGTCACCTTGGGAAACTCTGTGGCTGGAGGTTTCCCATTACACTTTAACAAACACTGTTTGACACCTAAGAATTTTGTACTTTTTGCCTGCCTGGCAAGTGCAAATTCAGTAGTACTGTACTTAGTCAGAATGTAGATCTCTTGGGCTTTGAATCTACCCAATAAATCTATATATCTAAAGATTAACTTTTGAAAAAACACAAAAAACCACATATTAAGTGAATAACCTAGTTAATCTTTATGCAGACTAAAATTTGAAAACATTGTACTTCCAAACATTTTTGAAGTGCAGTCTCTGGGCTTATCTATCCAATTGCTTGTTTTTGTATACCCCAAGAGCTGAGAGTGGTGTTCTCAAAAAATGCTTAATTTTTTTGTGCAAAAATCAAAAGCACAGAAACATTTTTTGAATGTATGAAAATTTTATGAAATTCATGTTTCGTGCTTCATAAAATAAGGTTTTGTTGGAACCCACCCATG